ACACCCACAGCTGACTCTCACCCAATGTGTATTGAGTCTGTCCAGGACACACCTGACAGGCTGCTGTTGGTCTAGGGGCTGTACTTGGGGAACCACTGGGTTTTATGGGGCCCAAAACCCTTCTTGGTGGGCTCTTCCCTTCCTCTTCCTCTTGGGATCCCACAGGCCCTAGTGTTCAATGGATCTCTTTGGAGCACTGCTCAGTCTCCCATTGGTGGTGTTTTCCTTTGGTTATTCATGAAGATGTACTTATTTGAAAGGCAGATTACAAATTGAGAGAGAGAGAGAAAACAAAAAAACAGAGAGGTCTTCCATCTGCTGGTTTACTTCCCAAGTGGTAAGTGGAGAAAGCGGAGCTCCCCGGGGATGCCAAGACCAGTAGCAGGTGTGGCTGTGGCTTGTACCACCTGCCAGCGTTACCTGGGTGTGTAGACGCTTCTGTAGTGTGTCCTGACAAAGACTCTAGGGTCCAGTTCTAGACAGGCTCAGATGCCCCCGCCCTGTCTGATGGGAGATTCCAGCGCACACCCTGTTTGTGCCTAAACTTGAGAGACGGTTTTAAGGGTCAGAGATGGAGAGAACTTGAGAGGTGTGTTTTTCAGGCAGGTGTCCCCGGAGTGTGCAGCATTGTTGCATCTCCTAGAGACACTGGGACCTGCTAACAGGGGCTACCAGGTGCAGCAGATGGAATGGGGGGCTGGAACTCAGCTGAGTGGTATAGTGAGGATTCCGAGTCCCTAGCCCACTGTCAGCTCTCACAGGAACTTTCTCCCATTCTCACAAACATGCCCTGGGGATTGGCAGTGCCTTGGTGAGAGGCGAGAGGAAAAGGGCCCATACGGGGTGCCAAGGACTGCCCCTCACAGGGGTCCCCATATTGACGTTTACAATTTTGGACACATGTGTTGTAGGCAGATTTGCAAGTCAGGTGAGCCCATTTCATAGGTGAGAAAGCTGAGGCCCAGCAAGGGGAAGCCTTGTGGTCCATGGTCACCCCTGGGCACTGAGGCAAGATTTGAACCCTAAATTCAGTGTGCCTCGCTCTCCACCACTTTTCCTTTCTGGGAACAGATACCTCTGGCCAACCTGTTCTCTGCCTCACTTTCCCTTTTCTTGCCAAAAGAGAAGCGAGCAGGAGAATGAGTCTTAGGATTGTGGGTGAAGGAACAAGCAAGCAGAGCCCTCCAGCATTCCAGGTGATGGGAGCAGGAAACAACTGCTTTCTTAGCAGGCACACCTTCCCTCCTGGCCCTCAGCGATACCCCCTCCAAGCTGGGTGTAGCCCACCAGTGCCCAGCTCTGTCCCTCGAGGGGAAGCTGGAGGTTTCTGGGGGGCATCAAAGTCCAGGGAAGGAAACAGCTTGTTCTCAGTCTGTGCAGGTGGAGCTCGAAATAGTCATGTTCACAGAGAAAAGAACTGGGACACGGAGACCTGGGCAGAGCAGAGCCCTGCATCCAACCCGCCCCAGGGGGTGCGGCGAGGCCAGGGTGAGGGCCTGTCAAAGCTCCCACCTGCCCCAGCGCCCACTCTCCTGATAACCCCACCCCCCTACCCGTCAGGCCCCTCCAGGCCCCTCTCCCCACCTACCTTGAAGCCCCTCATGTCACTCCAGAGGGCAATGAATTTTTTTTTCCATGAAAAAGCATCCCCCAGAATGGGGCGCCCCAAACCCTATTTCCCCCAGACTCTGTCTCCCTTTGGAGTGCAAACCCTTGAACCTCATTCATTTAAAACCTCCCAGGAACCCAGTTTCCTCCGCGCCTTCATCCGCCCCCACTTGCGGTCAAGTGGGGGGACGCCGGCTCGCCCGCTTCCCCCGAGCTGCGCTCACCTGGCTGGGGGCGGCAGCGGTCGCGTCGGCTTGGGTCCGAGCCGGCGATCGGGCTCCGCGCTCCGGGTGTGCGGGCGCCGGGGTTGCGCACTGACCGCCCGCGCTGCGGTGGCGGCGGCGCCGGGCCTGGTAGGGGCGGCGGGGGCCCAAAGAGGAGGAGAAGGGGGAGGCGGCGGTGGGTGGGGCGCGGGGAGGCGTGAGGGAAGGTGGGGGCGGCCTAGGAGCAAGGTGAGCGCGCCGGGAGGCAGAGGAGAGGCCGGGGAGAGGCGGGCAGGGGGAGCGCAGGGAGCGGTAGGGGCGCCGAGCAGGGGGAGCGGGGGCTCCGTACGGAGCGTGCGCCGAGCGCAGACCCTTCCTCCACCGCGATCGCCCCGGAGCGCCAGGCTGCAGTGTGGACCGCAGGCATCCTTAATGCAAGTTGGAATGCGGTAGGGGAGAGAATGAGATCCCAGAGGGGAAACTGAGGCCCGAGGCAGGGCCCCTTACAGATTTGCTTCTACCTGGATTTGGTGAGATCTGGACGCAGGGATTGGACTGGGCTGGACTTTGGGTGAGATTTGTTCCGGGACACACACGTCCAGCCTGAGTGGCCTGGGGTGGAGCAGGGGGAAAAGGGACGGGGGGGGGGGGGGGGGGCGGGCTCGGAGGGAAGGAAAGGAAAACTGGGTCAATGTCACCGAACCGGAAGAACCTATTGACCTAGTTCTTTTTCCTGACCTCCCGATGTGAACATGCCCATCCTGCCTGGGGAGGAAAGAGACCTAGCAGGTTAGCCCGGGCAGCTGCCCAGCCGCTGGGTGAGAAGAAGGGGCTTTGGCAGAGACAGCCAAGGATTCCCATTGTTGCCAGGTATGTCTGCCCCAGGGTTGGAAACACCTCTTGGGATAGAAGCCAGCATCGCACACTGGGATGCCTAGTTTCCTCTGTCAGCTCTGCTTCCCATTCTACATCCCTGTTGGTGTGGACGCTGGCAGGTAGCCTGAGATGGCCCAAGTGCCTGGGGTCCCTCCCTGCCTGCCATGTTGCAGCCCTGGAGTGAGTCCTGGCCCAGGCTGCTGCAGCAGGTGTTGGAAGTGGGAACCAGCAGAGAGAAGGGCTTTGTGCCTCTGCCTGTGTGTCTGCCTGTCTGACTTTTCTCTGTGTTTGCACCTTTCATATACAATGGAAGCAAATAGAAAATGTTTTATTAAAATTTTTTTTTAAAAAAATTTTGCTTATTTTTATTGGAAAGGCAGATTATGGAGAAAAGGGGATACAGAGAAAAAGATCTTCCAACTGCTGGTTCACACTGCAAGTGACCACAACAGCCAGAGCTGAGCTGATCCGAAGCCAGGAGCCAGGAACTTCTTCTGGGTCTCCCACGTGGGTACAGGGTCCCATGGGTTTGGCCTTCCTCTCCTGCATTCCCAGGCCACAAGCAGGGAGCTGGCTGGGAAGTGGAGCACCCAGGACACAAACTGGCACCCATATGGGATCCTAGTGCGTGCAAGGTGAGGACTTTAGCCATAGGCTACCATGCCAGGCCCAAATAGAAAGTTTATGAAAACGGTTATTAGCTTGGGGCTAGTGTTGTGGCACAAAAGGTAAAGCCACTGCCTGCGACATTGGCACCCACTTGGGTGCCAGTTCAAGTGCCAGTTACTCCACTTCTGATCCAGCTGCTTGTTAATGGTCTGGAAAGCAGCAGAGGATGGCTCAAGTGCCTGGGCCCTGGCTGGAAGCCATTTGCCACTCCCCCTGGAGGTTGAGGAGGCTGAGGAGAGGACAGCAAGGCTTGCTTCAGGGGTTAGAACATTGCTGTTGGGAGCTGGAGGCTGTGGGGAGCAGATCTGGGGAAAGGCAGGGTGGTCTTGCAGGGAAGTGGGGGGATGGTGGCCACATGACCACAGAGAGGCTCCAGGCTGGGTGGCTTGCTCCTGTTCCCATGTTGCTGTGTGTCACTGATTTTAAGAGCAGGCCCTTTTTAAACTGGAAAGACAGATATTTTTAAGTTAAAAAAAATTTTTTTAAAGTCAGATTTCTTTTAAAAATTTATTTTTTTTATTGGAAAGTCAGATATAAAGAGGAGAAACAGAGGAAGATCCTCTGTCCGATGATTCGCTCCCCAAGGGGCCACAACAGCCAAAACTGCACCAATCCAAAGGCAGGAATCTGGAGCTTCTGCAGGGTCTCCCACGCAGGTGCAGTATCCCAAGGCTTTGGGCCATCCTCAACTGCTTTCCCAGGCCACAAGCAGGGAGCTGGATGGGAAGCAGGGCCAGTGGGATTAGAACTGGTGTCCATATGGGTTCCCGGAGCGTACAAGGCGAGGATTTTAGCTGCTAGGATACCACGCCGGGCTCCATAAAGTCAGATTTTTGCAGAGAGAAGGAGAGACAGAAAGATCTTCCATCAGCTGGTTCACTTCCTAAGTGGCTGCCATGGCTGGAGCTGAGCTCATCTGAAGCCAGGAGCCAGGAGCTTCTTCTGGGTCTTCCATGCAGGTGCAGGGTCCCAAGGCTTTGGGCTATCTTTTATTGCTTTCCCAGGACACACGCAGGGAGCTGGAAGGAAAGTGGAGCAGCCAGGACTCAAACCAACAACTATATGGGATCCTGGCATCAAAGGAAGAGGCTCAGCCTACTACATCATGACGCCGGCTTCATCCTTTTTTTCCCATTAAAGTAGGAGTACTTATCACTAACTCAATTTTACAAAATGAGAGTAGGGGTCTGTATTGTGGTATAGTTGGCAAACTCACCACTTGCAATCCCGGCATCCATGTGTGCCTCAGTTCGTGTCTTGGTTGCTCCACTTTCCATCTAGACTCCATGCTAATGCTTCTGGAAAAGCAGAGAAAGATGGTGTTTGGGCTCCTGCACCCACGTGGGAGAGCTACAAGAAGCTGCTGGCAACGGTCTGACCCAGCTCTGGCCATTGTGGCCACGGGAGAGTGAATCAACTTATGGAGGATCTCTCAAATATGTATTTATAAATGCAGAGGTTCCTACAAGGGTAGGATTCAAACTCAGGTCCATCTATTTCCAAATTGCAGACTTTACCCACAAGGCTCCGAAGCCTGCCTTGCTCTGACCCTCTCAAATCCTGGTTTTTCTCTCTCTCTCACTTTTAAAGATTTATTTTTGTTGCAAAGTCAGATATACAGAGAGGATGAGAGACAGAGAGGAAGATCTTCCGTCCGATGATTCACTCCCCAAGTGACTGTAACAGCTGAAGCTGAGTCGATCCAAAGCCAGGTGCTAGGAGATTCTTCTGGGTCTCCCACATGGGTGCAGGGTTCCAAGACTTTGGGCCTTCTTTGACTGCTTTCCCAGGTACAAGTAGGGATCTGGATGGAAAGTGGGGCTGCCAGGATTAGAACCAGTGCCTATATGGGATCCTGATGTGTTCAAGGCAAGGACTTTAGCTACTAGGCCACCGCTCTGGGACCACAGTTTTCTACAAAGTGAGGAGTAATTCCTTGGCATTGAAGGGTACAGTAGTTTCTCCTGTGGCTAAGCTTGGTCATCGAGATGTAACTGACAAGTTGCCAGGAGAGAAACAGGCAGACCTGGCTGCCAGGCCCACTGTTTTCATTCTTCATCCTTTCCTCCTTCCCTCTTCTTGGGATATGGATATGAGGGCTGGAGCCCCCAGTGGCCACCTTGGGCCAGGAGGCAGCAAGGAAGCTTGGCGGTACAGTGGAAAGGTGGGTACAGGGGATGAAGTCAAGAGGAACAAAATGTAGACCCTGTATCCAAAGATTCAACCATTTAGTGAGAGCAGCAGGGTGTGGTCCATGGAGAGAGCCCTAACAGATGGGAAGGTGTCAGGGCCAGGAGAGTGCTGCCAAGAAGTATGGGAGCTGAGGGAGACCCCATCCCTGGTGGGAGTGGGATTGGGAGGAGGCTGTTCCTAAATCCCGGGGGGTGGGGGTTGATCCGGTGAGAGGGAGGCAGAGCTGGAGGTGAACCAGGGCTATGATGCAGTCACCAGGGGAGTAGGTGAACAGGTGTGGAGGCAGGGAAGGGGCGGAGAGGGAGCGGTGCCAGGCTGAGTGGAGGGGCAGAGCTGGGAGGGTTGGGGAGAGACACCACGGTGGTGAGGCCTGGGCGTTTGAAGGTGCTCCTGGCTGCTGGGGTGGGGAGCCCCCAGAAGAAGGGAGAGATGGGTGGAGCAGCAGGAACAGGCACAAAGAAGACAGGGAGCCGCTTCCGGTCATGAGAAGGGGAAAGTCAGGGGAGACATAGCGACTGGGACTGTTGGGGACAGGACAGCCAGCCAGTCGTGTACCTGCGTGCTTACAAGTTCATTAGCTGTCTGAGCCCGGAGCCTGCCTGGGGACAGTGCTGGGAGTCGAAGGGAAGTTAATGAGAAAGACAACACTGCGCCCTGGGGAGAAATGAAAGAGGAGGAATCCTTAGCCAAGCAGAGCTGCTGGCGGGAGAAACAGATGTTGGGCTGTGAGCTGCAGGGAGAATTCAGCCCTCCTGGGAGCAGCCTCTTGCTGCCTGTTTTAATCCCTTGGAGCACGGGGAAGTTATGGGAGGAAGTGATAGAGGGGTAGCGTTGGGAGCCCCCACCCTCCCTTGTCCCTTTCCTAGCATGGCCCCAAAGGGCCTGGCCCTGGGAAGAGGCAACATTGGACTGTGTGGCAAAACGCATTCTCTGAAGACCCCCATTTCCCTCTGCACTTCCTACAGCGTGGCCTTGCTACTCACCGTGAAAAGGAGGAGCGGGTTAGGTCATCAACTCCTACCTGGATCTCTCTTTCTTTTCTTTTCTTCTTCTTCTTTTTTTTTTTTGGATCTCTCTCTTTGAAAACATCCATGTCTCCTACTTGGGGGGGGGGGGCGGCAGGGACCCAAGCACTTGGCCATCACCCGCTGCCTAGGGGGCAGCAGTGGGAGTGGGCCTCTGGAAGGTCGTTCTTCACACTGCTCGTGCAAGACATCTGCCCTGAAAATGAAGACTTCAGACGGTCCTGACTGGCACTGTGGTGCAGTGGGCTAAGCTGCTGGGATGTGTCGTGTCTGGGACCCAGTCCCTCTCTGCCTCTCAGCCTCGTCGT